GTGAGTCCTAAAATACGAGATTTATTTAACACTAAAAACACCAGTTATGTTAATGATAGAGATAGATATTATTCCACAATACAAACATTGCTTTTTTTCATTGCGCCACTGCGCTTTCCCGTCGGATAATATATATATATATATGTTCGTTCAATCGGAACATTATTAAATTTTCCTTCTAAAAGAGAATTATAAATATAATACGATTTCGATATTCCAACATCGGAATTTTTCATTCCGTCCATCCTGAAATAGGTGAGTCGTTCGATCGCGTTTCTCCTTTTTTATTGATCACATATATCGATCTTCGATTAGGTTAAGATATACGTTCCACAATGTTGTATTACACAGAGTTGAGAACGACGGAGTCACGTTGAAACGTTTCAAGGAAATAAGGGAAGAATAAAAGATAGACTTTTCGGAGCGAAGATTCGTAATGTACGTAATCAGATAAACGATTAGTTTTTATCGTTATTTATTTTTTTTCTTCGATCAATGATAAACTTTTTTTTTCTTCGATACAAGGAAGGAAACGTTTAAAGCTTTCAGTTCGATCCAACAGAAGTATGTGTATGTACGTATATATATATATATATATACATATATACATATATATATATATATATATATATATATATATATATATATATATATGTACACATGTACGCACATATGTGCGCACAGTCGATGCACGAAACGAAATAAAGACAGGGCGAAAAAATATGAGGTTTTACTGCGATTTCATATAAATACATGGTTACTCGTTGATCTGCTCGTGCACGCTAAATGATCAAGCGAACATAAGGAACGAGGAACGGGGTAACTCGTGCGTTCATTGGCCGTCCTCTGCATAAATATGCTGTGATTGGTCGATTCGTTGTCTCTGTCTTTCTTTCCTTTTCTCTCTCTCTTTCTCTCTCTTTCTTTCTTACTCCTTCTTCTCAAACCGAACATTGTAATCACGTCAGGTGAATTCGTAATAGTTTAGAAGTGAGCCACGATTCTAATATACGATTCTAAGATTATGCTTACTTATCGACTCTCGACGTATGATAACGTAAAATCGCTACAACAGATATATTGGCCATTGACGATAATTTTAAGATTATAGAACAGAATAGTTATAGTTTCATTGGTAGGAATGGAAATGTAATGAAATGAAATGAAATGAAATGAAATGAAATGAAACGAAATGAAATGGAATGGAATAAATTCGATTATACCGAGTAAGCCATTCTCTTACGGTGACTATAATAAATTGCTTTTATTACGTTTGCCTTGTATCAAAGTATACGAGGAAAAAACTTTCTTATTCTTCAGGATCGTTTAATTATTCGGACTTCATAAATAGCTTTTTGTGACTCGTTTATTGTTGACCTTTCGACCAAAGAAATAGAAAATATCGATCTAATATTCTACCTAACTTAATAATACATTTACATTCTTATTCGCTTGTCATTATCGTTATCTTTATCGTCGTCGTTGTCGTCGTCGTTGTCGTCATCGTCATTATCGTCATTATCGTTCTTGTCATCGTCATTATCATCGAAAAAAATTATATATTCTTGCTATCAATGATCTTCAAAACATACGTACATATTTATTTATTTATTTATTCCTTAATTCCTATTTATTTATCTATTTTTTTTATTTATTTATTGATTTATTTATTTTATTTTAATATCAAAGAAGACAGAGACTCCGATCGAAAGGAGGTTAGTTCAAAGAGAAAAAAAAAGGAATAGAAGAATTAAAAAAGAGAGATAAAAAAAGAAAGGACAAGACTAAAAGACTTCCGAATACATAGTTGAATTGATCCCGCGAGAGTGGTGGCCACAGCAATGCACTCGAGCGTGTCGTTGGCTGCCTTTGTTTCTCGAATTATCCGCTGGGGGCGGAGCGTCGCGCCCTCGAAAGGTCGTCCATTACTTCCAGCTTCGCTGTCGTCGTGATTACACCCGCTCTTGCGAGTAGTAGTCTCTCCTTCCTATCACCGTTCCTTTCCGCGTTTCTCGTGGAATTTATTTACCTTTTTTCTCCCTTCCTTTATTTTCTTTCTCTCTCTTTCTTTCTTTTTTTCTTTTTTTCTTTTTCTCTTTTCTTTTACTTTTTTATGTTTCCCTTTCTCACTTTGTCTTTCATTTTTGTCTATCTTTTATTTAATACTCATAGAAGAAAAAGAAAAGAAATTTCGAAAAGCAACCTAAAGAACTTGCTCATCTTTTTTTTCTTTCTTTCTTTTTTTTTTTTTTTTTTTTGACGTTTTTTTTCTTCTTATCCATTTTTTGCATCATTGCAAAAATAACGATCCTCGCGAGAACCGACTTATTATTTATTGCCATCGTTCCGATTTGAAATTAAAATAAGGAAATAGAAAATGTTTTATTAACTATCATATAGGAAGTAATATAGCTTGGGAAAGATATAAAACATAAGTAAAATTTCGATTGATAGATCGTATTATTTCTATCATTTTGTTAATTCTCATCTCTAGATTGTTCTAGAAAGAAAAGATAGAAGCGAGAAAGAGAGCGAGAGAGAGATAGAGAGAGAGAGAGAGAGAGAGAGAGAGAGAGAGAGAGAGAGAGAGAGAGAGAGAGAGAGAGAGAGAGAGAGAGAGAGAGAGAAAGAGAAAGAGAAAGAGAGACTCAAGCAACGACAGGTGGTGCGCCTACTTTTCTTTATGCATTGTTGTGAATCGTCTTACGGGAATACCCATAGCTTCCAGCTGGTCGGTCATTTCCTCTTTCCCTCAACTCTCGCATACCTGCTTCTCCTCGATTAGGCTTGATCGAGGACAATGGCAGCAAGCTTACAATTCTATACATATATATATATATATATATATATATATAGTTTTTTGAAAAATCCTCATTAAATTGAAGAACCATCGTATTTCTTTTATTTCTCTTTAGGGATGACGAATAACATTATGTCGTTTATTTTTAATATTCATTTGGATAGGACTAATTTTCTTTGATTTATTCTTTTATAATAAATTTAAAGGATATAGAGGTTGTGTATCATATAACTTTTACTACGTTTATTTAATTCCTAATTTGTAATGGAAATTTAATATAATTTTATATCTGAAATTATAATCGACCGAAAGAATATTTTCAAATTTATTTTTCTATAAAAAAATAATATATATATGTGTAAATATATATATATACGCACAGAATATATATACAGTATTTGTGTGCGTGCGTGCGTGCGTGAATGTTCGTGTGTGTGTGTATGTATGTATATACAGGGTATATATATATAGTATCTGTACACACACATAAACACATATATATTAAAAACTTTATGATTATAATTATATCTGTTATCAATGATATCTAATCTAATTGAGATTATTTCGTTGATATAATTTTATTTTTATTCATAATCAACGAAATAAATTAATTTCAAAATTCTCTGACGACAATAGAAATGTTTTAATTGACGTATGTAGGTTTCATATCCCCTAAGGGTTTAATTTATTACGAACATAATCCCTCGCACGTCAGGAATATAACCGACATGGGATAAGATCGTAATAGTGCTAGTGGCTTTCTCCTTCCTGTCGTGAATTAGAAGTATTGCCTTGCTACCTCTTCCGTTGACATGCAATTAATCCACGATTAATGATTCTGACGCGAGTAAAGTAATTTCGATACATACATATATACATACACATATATATATATATAAACCTATATAATGCGTCAATTGGAATGAGTGATTCAATGTGAAATATTTCTTTCCTCGAATTTTTAATCTCGATCGATTTTAAAAATTGAAAAAAATCGACTCGTCGAACTCGTGAACTTTCATTTGAAAGTACACATCATTTCATTAAAGTGCAAATAAAAATGTATTTTATTTTCATTACGAGTAGAAATATTTTCAATTGTAAATGTTCAATTTAATAATTATAATGAACTACATCGAAATAACTCTGACATTGACTTTTAACTTTTCGTCAAATATAAATAAACAATTATCTTTTCTGATATAAATAAAATCCCATTGAGAAAGGTTCAGCTTAGAAAGTTGTTAGATCTACAAACGCATACAGATAAAAAGAGAAAAAAAAAAGGGAAAGAAGAAAAACATACACGATATGGAATTCACAGGATGATATCCATACGAGATGAATCTACACATTTCCACGAAATTTGTTCAGATCCTTGAGAAATGAATGTATCAACGTTACCATGAGAATTATGTGAATCTTCGTATGTCGATCCCTTTAGATTTACGATGATAATTTATATCCCGAACTATATTTATATTAACGTGCGAATATAAAATGAAACTAACTCATTACGAGCTCTCATTCCTTTCTTCTTTGGTTATTACTTGATATTGTGAGCTTGTCATTTTTTTCTTCTTTTCCTCTCTCTCTCTCTCTCTCTCTCTCTCTCTCTCTCTCTCTCTCTCTCTCTCTCTCTCTCTCTCTCTCTCTCTCCATCTTTTTTTTTCCATTATGCAACTTTCCCCAGAATCGTCTTTCTCATTACACAAAGCAGCGTCCAAAGATTACGATCGCGTGCATCGTCGTTACCTTGGAAGAAAAAAGTGCATGTATGTATGTATGTATGTATGTATGTATGTATGTATGTATGTATGTATGTATGTATGTATGTATGTATGTATGTATGTATGTATGTATGTATGTATGTATGTATGTATGTATGTATGCATGTATGTATGTATGTATGTATGTATGTATGTATGTATGTATGTATGTATGTATGTATGTATGTATGTATGTATGTATGTATGTATGTATGTATGTATGTATGTATGTATGTATGTATGTATGTATGTATGTATGTATGTATGTATGTATGTATGTATGTATGATGTATGTATGTATGTATGTATGTATGTATGTATGTATGTATGTATGTATGTAGAAACCTGCTTACTCATTTATTTCCTTTGCCCGTTGAACCGATTTCCTGGAATAATCTTGTAAAAGAACGGTCAGAATGACGTATGACCTC